GGTCGTGTGGACGAGTATGCTAGGTCTGCGCGTGTCTGGGCAGATTTGTTGTTCTACTTGGTTTCACGCGTGCGTTGGGCCTTGCTGTGCACAGGCACATGCAGGTGCATGGGCTGCTGTCTGCATGCATACTTGATGAACGCTGGGCGTCTCGCACATGTGCATGGGCTGCGCACGTGCAAGTGGCTTGCCTTGGCCGAAGGTCTTTCGGACCGTGAGGCCTCGATGCCTTTTCGGGTTTGGCCAAAAGTGGACTTTTCTTCTTGTCTTGGATCTCTAAGTCCATGGGTCACCTCTTGGGCTTTAAGCCTTTTTGTCTGAACAAACTTGCTCTATATTTTGGAATAATCCAATTTAGCAAAATAGTCAGGAATAAAATTATTTTCCTATTATGAGTATTTCCGTTTAGAAAAGTAGAATTTGCTTTTTCATTTGAATCAATTCCATTTAGGAAATAAAACAGTTCTTGAACTAGTTTCCTGTTTAGGAGAGGATCTTTGGAACGGGACCTTCTGAATAAAATTTTTTCCTACGCGTGGGTTTGTGCTTGCATGTGCACGTCTATTGTGCTACATGCGCCACGTGCTGCAGCAAACTTGCAGATAATTATTCTGCGGAAGTCAAGATTTCCATGGGGTTCCTCCTTGACGTGGGATTGCATATTTGAACTAAATTAGGGCTATCTAGAATCACATTACCAAAACCAAATAAATAAGAGTTAGTTATGGGTCAAACTAGAGGAGTAATTAAGTAGGAAACCTTATCCTTAAAATTAAAATACTTGTCTTTGAAGGAAAAAATCTTAGGACTTGGGTTAAGAGATGTAACAAATTTTTTCATGTTTTCAACTTTTTTTTAAAAAAAAAAAAAAAAAAAAACAGAAACAAATTTCATGTATCTAGGAGACAAGACAAAAATTTATTTTCATCAGCTAATAAATGACTCTCGAATGTTTCAATAGAAAATATTTGTGGAGGAATTGTGTGGAAGGTTTAGAGAGTTAGTTGTATTAAACATAATGGAGAAATTTAATAAATTGATACAAGAGAATATCATCCTCAAATATCAAAAACAATTTGAAGAAATTAAGTCCCTGTTATTAGCCAAATTTCTGGATGCACCGCTCACTTTAACTCAAACATTTAAGTTGGTTCTATGATAAGAACAAATAATAGACACCATCAACCATCAATAAACCAAAACACTCAAATACTTCTACAACTTCTTTCAAGTCACCTAATCCCAAAAGAATTCTTCGTATCACTAAAATTTTCTCCAAATTTTAGAATCTTAAAGAAGCATCACCCATGTGAAGTCCAAATCATTCAGAAATGAGAAGAAATAACATTTACTACATATATGAAAAAAAAAGTACTTTTCAAGACATCAGAATAAATGAAAAATAATAATATCAGTAGAAAAATGTAAAGAAGAAGAAGGAAAAGATCAAAAAGAACATTTCTAGAGAAAAAGACAACATGATAATGCAGAAGATCCTATGACTTCATCTTTGCAAGTCATAGCAAGGGTTTCTTTGCATAGCACTGTTTAATGATAAGAAGAAAGACAATGTTTGATTAATTGGCAAGGAACAGAAGAAAGAACATGGGAAAATATTGCATACATATATCCCAAGAGTTTCCTCACCTTATCTTTGAGGCAAGATTAATTCTCAAAGGAATGGAATTGTTGAGAATCAGTTGCATCAAAATAAAAATAATGAGGGAAGTATGAAACCAGCAAGGGAGCAGAGTATGTAAGATGAAATTGACCGCAAAGAAGCAAAAATCCAGGAGCAGAGTGCGGAAGATGAAACCGACTGTAGGGAGCACAATTCATAAGAGTTTATAAGCGTTGGCAACACGTTCTCTCGCCCGCAAATGACCAAGGCCACGTGGCAGTATCCGCGAAGACCTTGATGGACGCGTGTCACAATCGCAAAGCAGGTATTTAAAACCCCAGAACCAAGGTGCGAACTGTCTCTGAACTGCTTAACCAATTCCTCATCCTTCGGCTAACCGAACCGACTCTTCCTCTTCCTTTCTCCATTCAGCGAACCCGATGGGAAGCATCTCCTCTGAATGTCGACTCCCTGCACCTCTCCAACTTCCATGGTGGTGATAGGCGATTTGAAGGGAATGTTCATGCGCTATTTTTATGTATTTAAGTGTTATATTGCAAACTCAAAGGAATCAAGTAATTGTTCATGATAATCTCATACATTCAATACCAATCTCCTTCTCTCTCGGTTTCTCTTTCTAAACTCTTTATCTCTATCCCTATCTGGCACTCCTTCTGTTCTCATCTCTCTCGGTTTTCTTCCTCCACTTAGCAGTTTCTTTCTCTCTTTCGGTCTCTTCATTGCTGTTCTCTCTCTCGGTCTCTCTCTCTCTCTATTACTCTTTCTCTCTCCTGATCTCTCTCACTTTGCTCTAATTTATTTTTTCTCTCTGTCTCACGGTCCTGGTGAGATACATTTCAAGGCCGGCACCTAACCGAGTGTTTTGTTTTTACTATCGAATGTAAGCACCTCTTTTATCCAGGCTGTACCTCCATGGTTCTTTTTTATTGTTATTTATGCTTCTTACTACTAAAAGGATTTAATATACAAATCCAGAGGAAATAAAAGATCCAAACTCAACCAAATACATATAAACGTGATGATTGATTGTCTTTTCTGTTTGAGATCTTATCTTTAAAAGTATTTTGGCTTCTAATGTTCTTGTATTTGTAGGATGATACTGTTGTCCTTGGGTAGCATGACCATTTTATATATCAGTAGAACTTTTATTGCCATTTCACTTCTATAGTTTCCTTTACAAGCTTTGCTTGGTTTCAATTAATTTCAGATAACCAAGCAGATTGAAGCAGTAAACATGGTTTACAAGCTTCACAATCTTCCTGAATTTTATAAGGTTAGATTTTTATATCTAATGATTTTCTTATTTGGTTTTGAAAATTGAATTGCGAATGCATAAAGCAGTTAGTTGATATTTTGGATGTTACAGGATCCACGCCCTCACATATCTTTGGCTTGGGCATTGGGGGACATTGGTAACTCTGTGCAATAGTTGCTTGATAAGTAATTTCTTCTGTCCGGAATTCAAGCTTTAGTATAAAGGCCTGTATATATGTGAACAGGAAGATGAAGAAGAAGAAGAAGAAGAATGTTCGTGGCCTAACCTAACAGTGTCCAATGTGAGTGTATGTTTTCTTATCTGTTCGACATCCTGCTAAAGCAATTTACTTGATAAGTTCCTGGAAAAGTGACTTATTTCCATCCGAGTATGGTGGCATGAAAGCAATCTTTTGCCTCTAATCACAGAGACAGCTGCACTTCTGAGTTCCTTGGTAGTATTCAGAATTTATAGAATGAAACAAAAAAAACTACAGAGTCCAGTTCACAACTCTGCTTTCCCTCCATCTGAAATTCAACGGGATCACTTTCCAAACAACTTTTACCTCATCGGCAAGTTTCTTGATCAGCAGTTTAAGGAAACTTGTTAGAACCGGTGTAAAGGTTGGATAGATAGAGGTGAATATAATGATGAAGAGCTTTAAACTTTCAGGCGCAATGACTGACATTGCTGTGCTGTATGTGAAATACATAGCAACCATGCAGATCTGAAGCTCAAACTGCAGAGGGAAATCTCTGGTAAGGATATTGATCATGAAAAGAGACACTGAAAACCCAATTGAGTTGAAGAGAACAAAGAGGACAAATGTAATTCCACTGGCTGTGCCCATAATAGACCACCCTGCAAAGTGTTCTTTGTCAATGCTGGTGCTACTGTTTCTGCCAGGAAGATTGTGATCTTGCCAAACACCTCCTGGAGGACTGAGCCCTGCTTGGAAGGTTGCGGTTGCTACCAAAATGGCTATAACCAACAGTGTACTACGGGCTTCGCTTGGCGAGTCTCTGCCTTTTTTGAACTTGAAGTACTCAAGTGTATCCTTTAATCTGGATTGACTCCGCCGGGGTGCTGCAGGTGTGTTCGCAGCAGAATCGCTGGATTCGATGGAAGGGTTGGCAGAGACAGCAATGTCTTTTGCTCTTAGAGCTCCAGCCCCCCTGAGGATCTCCTCAATTTCCCTGTCACCGGCTTCACTTGGGAAAATCATTAGTAAATCCAGGGCAGTGAGATGAGTCTTGTTAATGGCATTTACTTCCAAAACTTGAGAGTTAGTGGTTCCTTTTCCAATCAACAATTCTATTATCTGCAAGAATCAAAATTTCCCTTCAGCTTTTCTTTAACCACTTCAAAGAGAAAGATAACAGACCTCATCAAAATTTCATTTAAGGTCAAACCAGTCTCTGATGTCATTGGTTTTTCACAAGCACAGGCTCAGTCAACAATCAAAACAGACCCAGATTACGTAACAAAGCATGTTATAGTGTGAATTTGTAGAGGAACCAAACCTTCATTTATCACAGATAAACAAACATTACGTCAGGAAAAAGCTGCAAGTTAGTTTACTGGGAAAATAATTCTTACAGATCTCAAAAGTAAAATTTTCATCAACTTCTTGATTGAAATATGTATTCACAAATAAATTTCTTACAGTTTCCAATTTGTTTCAAACATGGCTTACTTTGATTTATTGTTACCCTCAATTTATGTAGTTCTAGCATTGCCAGCATATTAAAATCTGCTGCTTATTATAAAATTCAATAAAAAATTATACCTAGAACCCAAAAGGCCCCCCAAAAAAATATGATTATAGTCATAGATATTGCCTGGAGATTAAAAAAATGAAAACCAAAATGCTTTATTTGAAATCTTCCACTACCAGATACAAATCTAAGAGAGCAAACCTACAGACTAGCAGAGTTGATAACTTCACCTGGCGTTGTTTTTTCCAGGTAGCAAGGTGCAGGACTGTATTGCCATATTCATCTCTCATGTTCAAGACATGTTCCTTCTTCAGCTCCCTTGCCAAATCCAGTAGCACCCTTGTGGCTTGAAACTGGTTATTCATGACAGCAAGATGCAATGCATTCTCTCTTTGAACACTCAAATCTTCTAAACAATCAGCATCACACAAAACAATTTCACTGATAACGTCAACCTTTCCTTTAATAGCTGCATGATGAAGAGGTGTTTTCTTGTCTCTGCCCTCCACCCGGCAAAGTTTCTTGTCAACTTTCATAAGCTCCTTTACAATCTCTACATGCCCATTTGCAGCAGCTATGTGCATGGGGCTAAATCCATCTTGATTAACTTCATCGGAAAATTCAGGTTTTAACCTGAGAATCTCCTTAACAAAGTCAACGTGCCCGGTTGATGAAGCGATATGCAGTGGATTATAAGTGGAGAATAGGGAAGTGTTGTGGAGGATTAGAGGATTCTCTGCTAACAATTGGTGAAAGTAGCTGATGTTTCCAGTTTGAGCGGCGTCAAACAATCTTAGGTCCATGTTTTGGAATGCAAAGCTGTCTTTCTGTTGAGACACTTTTGGGTAGGTAGGCAGATGGTGCGTACATAAACTGCAGTTTAACGTAATCAAGCACGCTTAATAAAAAAAAAAATAAGTAACTAGGCGACAGCAAATCATCAAACTTAATACCGGTCAATCTATTTTATTTTTAAAATCTGGAACTCGTATTTACTGATTTATTATCACATTTTTTTTTTATTAATAATTTAATAAGAATCTCAACATATAAAATTGATTAGTTTGAATTAAAATTTCATCATATAAAGTACATATTATAGTTTAATAATAATTTTGAGATATAATTTTGCTAATCAATTTAGATTTTTATCAAACTATTACTATAAACAATTTTTTTTTTATAGTTTAGGTATGAAAACTGAGCTTTTAAATAAACATATTCAAATCCAAAATGTTGACTCTGCTGTTTCAAAGCTAATAATAATCTGAATTCAACACAATTAAATTGGCAGCCATGTATATCTGAGCAGAATTTATTTCAGTTGAAAATTAGCAGATAAGCTCGAGGAAGAAAGTCAGTTTCGATGGGCTCAAATTATTCAGACTCTGAGAATGAAATGCTTCGCGAGCGTTCAATAAAAATTGTCAACCTGATCTTATATGATTTTAGGTTATATTTGGACAAAATTCAGAAATATCATAAAAATTACAAATTCACACTTTTATCTATCAGAAAAAAAAAAAAAATCTGTTCTAAGCAGAATATGTTGACTTGAGCGATAAACGCCCAGTTGACTAATAATTTCAATTAAGCTCCTTTATCCTTCAAAAACTCAGAAGGTGCAACAGATATTACCGTAGTTATATCATGTAGGCCCTAAACATTTTAAGTCAATTAGGAAAGAATGACTGAGCAGAAATTCCGTGGCACCTTAATAAGCCATAAAACAGTGCTTAAAGCCCTGGTCAATAGATTCCAGGTTATATTTCTCAGAGGTTGAAGCTTCAGTCTCTTGGCTCTCCTGCAATTTCGGCTTCTTAATGGCATCAAGAGTTTGCAAATACGTGTATGAAGTATTCGATTTGATGAAGGAGCTGAATTACTTATTCTACTGGCAAGGAATCGACGGATAAGACCCCTGAGGTTCGGAGCCATTGTGTGGGGCTCATATTCTAGGTCGTAAATGATTCCTCCCATGCATGCACGAGACAGAGCTACCTGCAAACATTTGGAAGCATCAAATCATGTGTTGAACAAAATCAACCAATTGAGCTAAGTTGAAACATCTTACGGCATCATGATTGAATAAACAAAATCATCATCTTATCACTAAGGCAAATTATCTTTCCCTCCTCCCAAGCCCGAAGAAAAGTCTCCAAAACGTTACTCTTCTCTCTCTCTCTCTCTCTCTCTCTCTCTCTCTCTCTCTCACACACACACACACACACACACACACTAGGAACCCAAGTAACTACATATTATTGTTGAAAGATTACTAGAGAGTAAAATAAATGAGATGTATTACTACCTTATTTAAGCTCGACATAGTTGTTCTTAAGTTTTTGAAGATATTAGTGAATTCCAAAGAAAAAGAAGTACAAGTAATATCAGACACAAAGACAGCAGTTTTAAGTACGTGGAATGGAAATGTGGAAATGGATATCTGATTATAAAAAATTGCTTTACAATAGCTGTCTTTTCTAATCTGAAGTGTTCTGAATGTTATTTGATACTCTCTAATTGCATAAATTGTTTGCTTCTGAATTATACATTTCTTTCTTTAAATTTTATTAACGTCTTCTTCAAGGATCTCATGCGAGTTTGTGGATGTTAACTCAAGCATGTTGGATAACATGACTAAGAACATGCAACTTTATGTGTAAGTCATTAAAATTACTAAAAATCATTCGCTAGTAGTCTTTTGTTTTTTTGACTTATACTAGCAAATGTTAGCACCTCTTTTCTCTAGCTTTCAAAAAAGGTTCCTCTTTTCTCCTGGCTGCACCTCCATGGTTCTTTGTTAATGTTATTTATGCTTCTTACTACCAGAAGGATTTAATATACAAATGCGGAGGAAATAAAAGATCCAAACTTACAGATAACCGTGATGATTGATTATTTTTTGTCTTTAAGATCTTGTCTTTAATTTTTGGCTTATGATGTTCTTGTATTCGCTATTTCAAAAGAAAAAGTTATTGCATTCGTAAGATGACACTGTTTTCCTTGAGTAACATGACCATTTATACATCAGTAGAACTTTTCTTGCTATTTCACTTCTATAACTTCGTGTACAAGATTTGCTTGGTTTCAATTAATTTCAGATAACCAAGCAAATTGAAACAGTAAATGAAGTTTACAAGCTTCACAATCTTTCTGAATTTTATTGAAGTTATAACTAACGATTTTTATGTTTGGTAAAAGTTGAATTAATATAGGAGA